CTTCCATAGAGTCCTCTGTTCTCCTATTCTTTCCAATACCTCTTCATTTCTAACCTTTTCTACCCACGATATCCTCATCATCCGCCTATAACACCACATTTCGAACGCTTCTAACCTTTTCTTTTCCGCCGCGCCTACTGTCCATGTTTCGCATCCGTACAACGCCGTGCTCCAAACATACACCTTTAACAACCTTTTTCGAATTTATAAATTAATCATTTGCGAGCATAGAAGTGACTTCTTTTTATTAAAGGCGACACGACAAAAAATATTGAAAAGTGTGAGATTAGATTTAAAACGATCAGCGACCCACTTAGTAAAACATCAGTTGGGCACCCGCCATACTGTTCGGATTTGGCTCCGTTCTACGTCCACTCCAAGAAAAATCTCAAGGACAATCCGTTAAAGACAGTTATGGCAACCTAGATCCGAAAAAGGTCAGCAGAAGCATTTAATTGCAATCGGAGATCATATTGTAACCTAAATTTTACACTTTGTAGTTAAGAAATTGTACTTTTAGTATTTCTTTGTCTTATTCTGATATCTCTTTTCGTTCCCATGTTACGATCTAATTTCCCAAACTTACGGACCGGTCGTCATACATTATTGAATGAATTTTCTAATGTATTAACTCAAGCGATCAATAATCTAGTCGATTAGTTTACATATTCCACACTAACCTTATTAGCAATGTAATCTTAAGCTTATCACGTAAATTGCCTAACGTCCAGGCTAATTTGCATGTCGAAATAACGTCAAAACTCCCACAAATGGTGACGTCCCACCTTTCAATGAAATGTAATCGAATGTAGCTGCACTTCTTTTATGGTGCTCTCTCTAATGTGAATTCGTATAAGGATTGGATCATTTTATTTTGAAACGGAAAATTTTAAATACTGCAACAAATTATTAATTTATGAGTAATGAAACAATCTAATGTTCCGATAGTTGCAAGGAAACGTTCATAAATTACGTATGGATAGCATTTTCTTATAAATTCTAAATTGGGGAGATAGAGAAGGAAGAAAAGCTCACAGATAGTTAAGATAATTTCGTATACCAAATCAATTTCATAGTAATAATAACTGCAATCTAATTTGATCTTTCTAGATAGGTACACTTTCCAGTACACCTACTTTGTTACGACTTTTTCCATATTATGGAAGCATATTTTAGAGCAAAATCATTTTTAAAAAATAATTAAAAATTACTTTCAAATCCACTTTATAAAATCTTTAAAAAATCCTAACCATATAAATAAGTTTATTGTAATCCATCTCTCCTTATTTAAGCTGCATCTTGATCTGACTTCCTTCTTTATTTAGATTCATGA